ATTCCCAATAACATGTTTGTGATGTTTTAAAATTACATTTTATTCTCTCCCTCCCTCTCTCTCTCCTCCAGCCCCTCCCATTGACACCAGGTGTATTGATAAGAGCGAGAGGTTGTTTCTGTTCAATGGTACTAACCCGTCAAGTGGTCGTATCGGTATCTGTGGATCGGACGGGCAGCTGCACAATATCTGTGACTTTATGTTCAGTGATCAGGCAGCTACTGTGATCTGTAGGGAATTGGGACTGAAAACACCAGGATGTAAGTAATAATAATAATGAATTAATAATAATAATAATAATAATAATGACAATAGTGATAAATTAATAGTACTAATAATAAATGGATAATAATAATAATAATAAATTAATAATGAATTAATAATGATGATAATTAATGATAGTGATAATAGTGGTAACTAATATGCACATTAATTTTGCAATACTTCAAATAACAGGGACTTTAATGTCCCTTCCCAAAAATTTAGTAAAGTGGCTGACTAATAACAATTTTGCACTGTTGAGAGAGTCACCTTTAGCTTAAATACTCTCCCCAAGTAACAGGCTATCGTGGGGCGCACCATTACATTCCAATGAATATCATTATCCATTGTCTACCATACATCATGTACATGTACCTCCTTCCTCTTCCTGTGCTGTATAGATGCAGTTCATGGCCTGTTCTTTGGCACTAGCAGTACTACTCCATTATACACTAACAGCAGGTGCAGTGGAGAAGAGACAGCATACAGTGAATGCAATAGACTCATGACAAGCAGATGTATACCTGGAAGAGGAGATGTAGGGGTAGTCTGCAGCAGTAAGCCATGAGAGAGGGAGAGAGAGAGAGAGGGAATATGAATACTGTTTATTAAGGATATTGAAATGTATTTATTGTCATTAGGTGATTCTAGTGGCATCTGCTCAAATGGTCAAGTTATTTTATTACCATCCTCCAACAGTTCAGAGAAAGTATACAAGAAAGTTGGTGTTTGCTTCGGAAACTCCTGGGGATATATTTGTCCAGAGGACTGGGACAATAACGACGCTAAAGTGATCTGTAGACAATTGGGACTCTCTTTAACATGTAAGAGGAGAAGAGAGAGGAGAGAGAGAGGGGGGGAGGGAGAGGGGGAGAGAGAGGGTATATGCTTACATGTACATATTGTGAATTGCTAATGATTTAAATTGTTTATACTTTTCAAACTAATCATCACTGTTCCAAATATTGCATATTTATAATCTTTATTAATCAACATCTGCCACCTGGTAATGTAAGAAAAACAATAACAACCATAATACCTCTAATTATAAAGACGCTGTTCAATATTGTTTCTTTCTCTAATTATAGGGACAGGAGGTAAAGGAATTGATGCTGAATATGAAAATCATAATGACAGGTTGTGGCTCAACGAGATTCAGTGTACAGGGAATGAGACTAGATTACTGGAGTGTGGCAGAAGGAGATTAGGGACTTTGAGGTCAAATTGTGACGATGGTGGATTTGCAGCTGTAGCTTGTTTAAGAGAA